TTGAGATCATCGGTCACTGAGAGAAACATGTAGAAGTGAGAATGACAAAGAAAAGGGGCATGAAAGAGAAAAGTGAAGTGCAGTTTAATGGCGCTTTCGTTGGCAAAGGCAGAGCTGCTGTAATGAATCCAGCATCGGGCTGCATGACCACAGACCCAGATGAAAGAGAGGGTTCAGTCGACCGCAGACCCACATCCACACCGTCACTTGATTGTTTAGTGATGATCAGAGCTGAAGCTGCCTCTCATTTGTCACTGGTGGTTTCTGTCAATGGCATCAGTGCTTGACTTCTGCTCTGCATTTTCCATCATCTTGTGGCATTGTAATTTGTATAATATTTGAAGATTGTGAGATGGGAACTGTAAGGGGAAGTGGTTTCCCAGTAAACCTTAAATATCTGCACCCACAGAGATTTATTTTTATTTTTTAACCATCATTCCCTTGAGATGCTGCTTTCATCAAATAAAGGGTTTGAAGTAATTGAAGTTGTAAACTTAACACTGCTTTAGAGGTCAAGTTTCTCTCTGTATATGCACTGTAAAATAAATGCAGGGTTCTGCATAATCGATTTGTGTTTGGACGACAAAGGAATTAAGTGAACTTATTAGTTTTTACATATTTTAATGGATTCAACATAAAACAATTAAGTTGTCCCAAAAAACTCAAGAATTGTGTTGTTTCAACTCCTTTTAAACAAGTTGGTTGAACAAGCAGCAATTTATTTATTTATTTATTGTGCATTGCTAGGTTTTCAACTTGTTTCTCGCAATGTATACTCGCAATGTTACATTTTGCTATTAAAAAGCTATTATATTAACATTTTATATTTTATATTAATAGGTTTTATTTTGACCTTTTGCCTTTTTGACAGTGGGAGAGAGGAGGTTGAATGGGATCTAAGGTTCATGAGCTGGGATTCGAACTCGGGACACCTGAAGTGCATTGGCGTCACACTTTAAAACACAACAGTTAACTTTATCAAATGAAATGAGTGTAGTTAACTCATAATTTACTAAAGTTAATTCTACTTATTTGAAGAGTTTTGATCTCAGTGTTGATGGCAATGAGTTAATCAAATATCTCATTACTTCAACTTAAATGGATTAAGTTCACAGTACTCGTATAGATTTTTTTTTTTAACTCAAATGGTTTGTAGCAATAGGTTTTCTCAAACGGTTTGAGTTACAGTACTCAGTTGGTTTGAGTTCTCTTTGTTTACTGCGATTTTACTGTGCTCAGATTGCATTGTTTACTCAAATGGATTAATTTCACAATGCTAGGATTAGTTTTTGATCTGAAATAGTGTTGCAATTGGTTTCCTCAAATAGTTTGAGTTACTTGACTTAACTTTTTGGGTTTTGCAGTGCATATGTCGCCACACTAACCACTAAGGTATTGGCACCCACTTTATTAACATCTCCTAAAAAAAATTATGTAGCGTTCATACTAAACAGACGTTCTGATGTTCACGATCTAATGAAAAATCATTCAGGCTAAAAAAAAAACGTCAATGGCTAACATTTTTTTAGACTTTCAAGAGTTCATACTTAGATAATGCTTGACTATCTTAGCAGGTTTGGCATGCTGTCTCGTTAAAGAACCCTGAGCTTGGAGATAGATGAGCCCAAGGCTCCTGCCTGGTCAATGAGAATTAGGAAGGATACAAGATCAGGTAGTTCTCGATAACTTCCCAAGAATAGGCCGCCAACTGTGCCAGTGTGTACGTATTAGGTGCTTGTGACTTTTATTTGTGTTTCATGTCTTTGGTTTCCTCCCACCGTCTAAAGTAAACAGAGAAAACCCATTTGAACATGGGGTGAACATGAAAACTCTGCACAGAGAGCGTTGACTGGCTCAGCTAGTGTTTAAACCAACAACCTTTTTGCTGTGGCGCAACAGTGCTAGCCACTGAGCCACCGTGTCGCCCGATCCTAGAATTGAGGAGGAGGGATAAGGGTTGGATGGTAAGGGGTCTTCTAAATGAAGATGAGGGATGTTTAGGCTGGATATTCATTATATTTGGAATGATTTGATTGGCTAGCTAGTGATTAGTGATAGGATTGCCTGCAGCTGGTCACTATCACGTGCTCCTCGAAATTAGTTTGTGAAACTTCACTTAAAATAATATGAACGACTAAACCTCGGCAGATTCTTATTGGCTTTTTACATTTTTTTTGTTGACTCCTGCCATTTGTATTTATTTTTTGACACTGTCGGTGGGTATAAAGATTGTAAGGCCCTATCTGATTGATAACTAGCATGCTGCACATAAAATAAATGTAATGTATTGCTTCTGTGCCATGTGAATATTGCATATACTATTATACTACATTTTTGGATTGTATTGTGTAGCCATATTTGGCATATTACAAAATATATTTTAAAACAAAAGGGAAAATTAAATCATCCAATTTTAATCTGCACATTTGCAACACCTTTTTAAAACAAAGTATCACCACTGGCTATAATTATACAAGTGGATTTTTGTTGGTTAATGCATGAAATCGCGGTCTCAATTGAACTTTTAATTAAAAAATCTAAAGCTAAATTTGATGCATTGCAAGCTTAGTCCTTTACAAAAATCTTTGGACATTGAAAGTGGAAAATATGATGAACAAGGGTACTGTAAATGACTGCTCCTCATGTACATGTTTAAATTGTATAAATCGTTGTCAGTTGCCTGTGTAATTTCAGTAGGGCAAACAAGAATGTAATCATTACACTCATATACACTTCTGATTTCATGTCAGGATTCATTTGTCTTGTTTAGAATGGACAAAGAACACAATTTGTTTTTTTGGCATAATGTTGGAACGTCTACTCTAAACAATAACTGATTACAAAGTTCCTTTCTAATTTGTTACAGCACATCCTTATTGACAGAAGGACATGCTTGTCTGTGCTCAGTTTCAAATTGATACCTAAATGTGATTAAGAAAAGATGCAATAAAGATGGATTAGCTGGGTTTATTAGTTGGATGTAGTAATCGGGGCATCCCCGTTAAATCTGCTTAATTAGTTTTTATTGATTTTACACTTTTTATTGATTTAAACTATTGATTTTTGTATTGTAAATGAACTAATAATGAAAATAAAAGGACATTGTATTCCGTAAGAGTATGTACAAGAGATTCCGCCTTTTTATTTGTTCATTTTTAGTAATTCAGTAAAGTTTAATGTACATTTAAAGAAATAGTTCAACTAAATAGGATATTATTATAATTGGAAGTAAATGGACTTTTTATGCTTCAAAAAAGCACCCATTTTTTTGTATGAGGGTTAAGGGAATGACATCATTTTTGCTTTTAATTAAACTCTCAATTTAATTTCTATTCATGACCCTGAAGTAAGGCCCCTTCTATATGTTAACATTTTTGTTTTTATATTTGAACAAAATGATGTTATCTCCTTACTCTGAAAAACAAACAAACAACAACAAAACGGTAACACTTTAGAATAATGGTCCATTAGTTCATGTTAGTTATACTACACTCTCTGGCCACTTTATTAGGTACACCTCACCAGTACTGCGTTGGACCCCCTTTTGCCTTCAGAACTGCCCTAATCCTTAGTGCCATAGAATCAACAAGGTACTGGAAATATTCCTCAGAGATTTTGGTCCATACTGACAACACAGTTGCTGCTGATTTGTCGACTGCTCATCCATGATGCAAATCTCCCGTTCCACCATATCACAAATGTGCTCTATTGGATTGATCTCTGGTGACTGAGGGGGCCATTTGAGTACAGTGAACTCTTTTTCATGTTCAAGAAACTAGTCTGAGATGATTCGCACTTTGACATGGCGGGTTATCCTGCTGGAAGTAGCCATCAGAAGATGGGTAAACTGTGGTCATAAATTCCTTTCAAACCCTAGAAATGGTTGTGCATGAAAATCCAATTAGATCAACAGTTTCTGAAATACTCAGACCAGTCTGTTTGGCACCAATAACCATGTCATATTTAGTCACTTGAATCCCCTTTCTTCACCATTCTGATGCTCTGTTTGAACTGCATCAGATCGTCTTCACCCTGTACACGTGCCTAAATGCATTGAGTTGCTGCCATGTGATTTGCTGATTAGAAATTTGCATTGAGGAGTTGGACAGGTGTACCTAATAAAGTGGCTGGTGAGTGTATTCACTAACACTTACGAAGTATAATAATCTTGTAAAGCGTTCATTAATCACAGTTCAACATTTACTAACGTATTAGTAAAATTGCAAAGCTGTGCTCGTTAACATTAGTTAATGCACAGTGAGTTAACAAGAACTACCATTATTTAACGAACCATTAGCCTTAACAAAGATATAATAAATGTATTTACTAACATGAGCAAACACTCAGTAATACATTAATAACATGGACCAATATTTTAAAGTGTTACCAAAAAAAAAAAAACCTTTTCAAGCACTCGCAATTCCTTACACAATTCTGATTAGGAAATTTGTCAGCTGTCTTATGCTAATTTCTAGAAGCCTAAAAAAATGACTTAATCAGGTTTTGGCAGTTGCAGTAACTGTAAATTGCAGCATTAATCAGGACAGAAGGGCCCTATAAAGAGAGCAGAATGTAAGGGCGGACCTGAGAGAGCGAGCGAGAGAGAGAGACAGAAGGAGCGAGTGCTGGGGGGTGGATGAGAGTGTTTGGCTGATGTCCATGTGTTTCAGCAGGGGAGTTGAAGCAGTCAGGAGGAGAGGACTGACGCGTGGAGAAGCAGTATTTCATAGACAGAGGAGGTTTCTTCTCATTAGAGGAGGTGGAGGCTCTCCAAGATCAGACACACACCCGTACACACACACACACAGTCTTATGAGTTTGAGGAATTCATCGGCTGTGGTTACAGTGACAGGAACAGTCAGCCAGGGTTGAGTCACAGCATTTAGACGGTTTTCTTCACACTCAGTGAAGTGAGTTTGAAGACTGGGCTGATGACAGATAACTCGTTTCCTACAACCGGCAGTTCAGTTTAGTTCAGTCAGTCAGTGGATGGAGGATCGTAAGGAGACGGTGTGATACATTTGAGCGGAGTGTGTGAGGATGGCGTGGGGTGTGTGGACTTTCACGCTTTGCTTGGTGTTTTGGATCAGCTCCGCGACTCAGTCGACAAAAAGTGTGTATCCAAGATTACGGCTGTCTCACAAAGGTAAGGCAACAGGTGTTTATATATATATATATATGTGTGTATGTGTGTGTGTGTGTGTGTGTGTGTGACTGTTGCAGTAAAAAATAGGGCAGATATCCTCAGGCAAAGATAACGTGGAATTTCTTTATCAATTCTGTCTGCCCTTCTTCCCTCATGTCTTTTTTTTCTTAAGTATTTGATTTAAACAATGTTTTTTTCAGTAAGAAAGAAATTCTAAATGCTTATATTAAAAGCTGACATTGATCATAATTGTTCAGTTAATATGAGGCTGAAATCATAATTATAAACATGTATAGATTGTTTAGTAGATAGATAAGATTTATTTGACATAGATCTCCTTTCTGCTCTTACTAATGACATTCATTCATTTATACATTGTCATTTTCTTGTCGGCTTAGTCCCTTTATTAATCTGGGGTTGCCACAGCGGAATGAACCGCCAACTTATCCAGCTAATTTTTACGCAGCGGATGCCCTTCCAGCCACAACCCGTCTGGGAAATACTTGTGACATAATACAGGTTAAAGCAAAGCTGGAGTTCCCCACAGTTAATATGGACAGTTGTCTTAAAGAAATAGAAATTAAAGAAATATATAAAAATATAATATTTTTTGTGATAATTTATACATAAATTATATATTTCAACATTTTACATATTTAAATTAGTATTAGATTGTTTTAGTTCTTATTATAAAACACATTTTACAATTGTTTAACATTTGCTAAAATCTCAAAATTAATTTTCATAAATTCAAATAGGCAAATGAAGGTTTGTTTGAATTTGAATTCTCATTTAATATTGGATTTCGGTCATTGTCATTTGCACATGCAACTGTAAGATCTAAATCATGGCAAGCAGATTTCACTAAGTAGGACATGTTACTGGATTAACATCCATGTTGATCCTGGAACAACATTCCAATCAGCCAATCAGAATTAAGGGATATGTTTACAGTGTATGTTAAGCTTAGGTTTACAGCTAGGTTTATGCACTTCTACATGATTGTTATCCAACTATTATCCCCCTCTGATTTTGGGAATAGTTTACAGTTATGGTTGGGTTTAGGGGTAGGGAATAGGTATGGATTACAGCAAAAATGATGGTCCAGGATCAACATACAGAAGATGTAAATCCAGGGTTGCATCATACTTTGCAAAATCACGTTGCCCTAAATCATGCACATGAACCTGTATGATTCACGTTTCCAAACAATGTCATTTGTGCACTGTTTGTGCATTTTGTACGATTACATTTTAACATGTTTCTTTTCAACCTCCTTCACATGATTTCCTGCCATCTCATTTGATCATTATTTCGCTCAGACTCAGTTGTGCAAAAAAGGGATGAGCTGTATGGACTTATAACATTTCCTAGTTTCTTTTAAAATATCTTGATGAGTGACTAATTAATGTATCCACTGAGAGACAAATGTGCTATCTTTAGAAATACAAAGGGCAACACTTTCTCATAAAGTGTTGTCAGCACACACTTGTAATATACAGTAATGCGTTTCATTCATACTGGACGCTAGAGGGCACCTTTGTGCATAAACTCTGCATGTGCAATACAAAATAAAGGCATAAGCTTTACCTGTAGCTAAAAAGATAGAAATGGATAAACTGACATAGACATGGACACAACTGATGGTACCCTTGCATTGAAGAAAGAACAACTACCCCAATATTACACGAGGAGAGTTCACACTGATCATGGCAGGGGTTTTAGTGATGTCTAGAGTCATCTTAAAACACTGGAAAACTCACAATTCCAGAGAATAGGTCAATATAATGACTAAAATAGTTTCATATGAACGTACTTTACAAATTACATGATAAGGACAAAGCAGGGGTCTTTGTGTGAATCCCAGTGTGGGAAAACGTCTGGTCTTATGCGACTAATGTCTTGTAACACAATTTAAAATTAGACACCAGGTTTTCTTTATAATATTGTACTGTTGTCCTTTTGTGGTTACTAACCACAGTATACATCCTGGCTTTACATTTAATAGGCCTGCCAGGGATCATTTTTAATACGTATTTGTATTATTTTGTCATGTACCAGAAGAAAACAATAAAGAAACCATTTTAAAAAGAAATGGAAAAACTAGAGTGGTCAGGAAATAATCCAACTGAAAAAATAATGATTAATCAAAAGTGACTGAAAATAAACTACTGAAAATCAGATATTGTTTTCAAATTGTGGTTCAGCAGAAGCATTAAAAACTAATAAAACCAACACAGACTCATTGGGAAAACGTATTTGAGATTGTGGACACAGCGCCCTCTAGTAGATTTGTCAAAACAGAGTCCGCAAGGACACGTAATTCAGTGTACATATTTGTTGGTTTTAAAAAATGTAGCCCTGGCCACATATTTCCAATGAGCCCGGTTGAATAAAACTGGCCTGTACAAAATTGAAAGAAACCAACAATTTTGTCGACATCTGCATATGCTGATTGACCTAGCCTTTTTTACTGTGTAGAATTAGATAAAAAATGTATAATTTGATCCTCATTCTGTAATATGAAACCACATTTGGTCACAAAAATAAGTTATTTCAAACACTCAACTGATGTTATAAAGTGAACTTAGGATGAAAGTAAATAATTCTGTTTGTAAACAGTCTTATACATGCAAAACTGAGCTACTGTTCATTTGTTATTTGCACAGCTTCATGCTTGCTGAATTTTTTTTCTCCCCATAAGAATCTTGACTTATCAAGCTAATTCAAATTCAGTCGCCACCAGTTCAGTGAAACCAATACATTCCTGTGGCTTTAAAATAATAATAACAGTGATACAATTATAATGATATAAAAACAGTTTTCCCTACTTTTATTTTCAACTCTAAATGTTACGAGCTGTGAGTTTAATTATAGACTTAAGGATGATTTGCATGCAGCCACTTGTGTTGCTATAAATACATCTGGATTCTTTTATTTGTGTTTTTCCACACTGTCATGGTGGCTGAGCTTCTACAATGTGGTTTTCTGTCAGCTTAAGCGGTTCACTGATGGAAGGTCAACTGTTCTTTTCACAATGCTGGTCTCTTATTGGCATGTTTACAGTGAATTTCAGGCATAGATGGGGGCATCCTTTGTAGATGAACACCCTAGCCTCAAGCAAATAGCCCATGCCTCTCTCTGTCTTCCTCTTTGATCAGAATACTCTGGAAACAGTGTCATATAAAAATCCACAGCGCAGCGTTGGTCATTCTTGAGACTTGTGCAATTTCAGTGTAAATCAAACCAGGTCCATCTATGAGCTATCTGTAAAATCTGCTCACAGAAACGATGTCTTTCCACTGCCGCTGTGATCTGGCCAAAGGTTGTAAGCTGAGGTGTGTCTGAGTGACTCTTCTCATCAGATTTGTCATAATATTGATTTTGACTGTCATATTCACTGGGTTTATGTGCATAGCTGCTGGCAAATTCAAACAAATTGAGATTGACGTGTGGCAAAGAAGTAGGGCAAATATCCTCAGGCTCAAAAATGAAAAGTGGAATTTCTTTCACAATACTTTCAGTGCCGTTCTTCTCCCTGTTTTAAGTAAATGTCACTTATAATGGCCGTTCTGACCTGAAATGGCATTCATTTTTAACACTTTAATTATAATCATAAAATTTGTGCATTTATTGTTTTATTTTTTTGTATATTTTTTCTGTATATATTTACCGGTCAGACAGAAATAAGAAAAAGTAAATTATTGAAGAAATTTTAAGGGCACCCAGGTTACCCCTTTTTTCAGATTTAATTTTGTTTAAGAAAAAACAATAATCTCATATTAAGCTTTATTTTACATCTACAGAATCATGAAAAAATTGTGATTTTTATTTTAAGCAAAAAAAATTCTCATTTTAGCCAGAATCGTGCAGCTCTACTGTACACTGACTTTCAACTAAATTTAATATTTTATTTTTACTAAATTTAGTTGGTGCATATTTGCATTCAATATGCTTCCTATGAATATAAAGTGACTTTTGTTAAGTAAATATGTAATAGGATTTTGGTGTCGGCATCATAATCCTTTTTTACCCTTTAGTCAAATATTTTTGTAATACTCAGTATCCTAAAATTTAGTCTATGAAACTTCAGGTGATATGAATTTAAATATATTTTTGGAATTTGATTACAATAGATTTGTTTTAGCCTATAAAACAAATAGGTCATGCTATCATTTCTTTTCTTTTTTCATGTTTCACCAGACGCTTATGGTTTCTATGTCATCTGTCATCTTTTTTTGAGTTCTTCTATATGCTGTCATTGATTAGGTGTGCTCTGCGTGTCTAGACTGATAGACGTTTCTCGCTTCAGCAGAAGCATTTTTGCATATCCTATCATTATGGAATGAAAAACATGTTGGCTTTCTGACTAACATGAAGTCCTCAGAGGCAGCCAAGGCATTTTTGTAGACCTTGAAGGCAATGACAGGAGTTTGACTTGTGGTTAAATCCATTGGGATTCTCCTCCTGGATTTTTAAGATGTTTTGAATTATATTCAGAATTAAAACCAGGAGTTGGTTTAATTAAATCTTAACCTAATCTGCCAGCGGCTGCAGAGTGGTAACTTGTTTTTTTTTTTTCATAAGCAATTTATATAAATAAATGGTTTGTTTCCCTTTTTGTGAAATCCATATTGTAATTAAAAATGTGTATACAATTGAATATTGAAATATGCTGTATCTGAACATCGATGTGAACTAAGGATGATCATTTCTGTTAATTTTGCCAAGCAACCATCGCCTCGCTAACCGAATATTAATGGTTAACTGGTCAGATTAATATTAAATTACTTAATTTGAAAAAAAGACGTGTCTATTTTGTGTCCGACACGCATTGCATTTTAAAGTCCGAACTTATTTTAAACTGCAAAAATATTAGCAACAAAACATCTTCATGCACCTGCAGTATTTCCAACAGCACACAAATACAGAATAAACTAAATAAAAATAATTTAATTAAAGTCCTGCCCTAAATATATTTCTCTTAAATGACAAGTTTA